CTAATCAAACACACAGTCACAGGCTCTCCCTTATCTTTAAATGGTTGCCTGTCAGAAGAGAAATTATCCTCTAGTAGTGAAGGCAAGCAAACTTCATGTCCCTTCTAATTTGTCAAATTAATTGAAAAGTTACATTTCTAAGTGGATTAGCCCCCACTTTTGCTTCAACCTTTCTCTGAGTTCCCATTTCCATATAGGGAATAAACTGGGATGGACTCATCTGTTTAGAAATTAATCTGCCTTAATATCACTGTCTTATACCACACTGAAAACTCTTTAGAAAGAAGCAGGAATGGCACTGGTCCAACAGATTAATTCACTGCCTGTGTCAAAAGGGACTTGCATAAGCTTTGAGCAAAATTGTGTCCATCTCAGTGCAGGAACGTGGGCTGTGCATCCTTTTTCTCTCTTTAACGCTAGCATAATTGCAGGCTTCAGTGTGCAAGAGCAGACTGTAGCGGCTTTTCTTAACTATTGTTGCAGCTTCGAAAAGGCATCCACGGGGTTGGCCACACAAATCCATGGAGCAGCCCCTGCTGTTAATCTCAGAGTGATGAACTGCAGCATCCCAGCCTCAGAATTCAAAGCACTGGCCGAAGCACAGTTCACTCTGTTGATTGTTTCAGCTCTTGGAGAAACTGAATGGGATGGGTAAGTCAGCAGGCAGAATTAGCCTGCTGGTGAAATACTTGATACTATCATACAGGTGTGTTTTGCCTGATGCAAAGGTCTTCAATAGCAGTCTTTCCCATTGCCAACCATTATCGTATAAAATTATTACTTTGTACTGCAAAGGTGAGACTGGAAAGGCTTATTAGCTAATTCTCTGGGTCCACTTCCTCCATCCCACCCTGCCATACCAGCAAGTTGGGTGTCCTTCACCAGGGTCTTCACTGGAGGTGGAAGTCCCATGCACAGAATCCCGTTCCCTTGGCAATGTTTGCAGCAGGCATCACACAGTAAGTAGCTGATATTTCCAACTGTTGTGTTGGACATGGTACTACTAGTTGGAGGACTCTAAAAGTGATTCTCCTTTGACTCATCAGGGACATTGCTGGAGTACTAACAGGTTCTAAGAAATCTTCCCAGCACAGGTGTAAGTAGCATCTCCAAGTCACAGACATACAGACTGTATTTGTAGAGTTAAATATATACTTCCTATTTTGGTATAGAACTGTGTCCCTCTCTACAGATCCTTGAAGCTAAAGCCAAACAGATACTCATGAGTGAAATTAAAAAGTTTTCATGTGTGCACTCTTAAGTAAAACCAAAGAATCACCCAGAGCCAAGAGATATGGCATCTCTGGACAGGCAAAGGTTAATAAAAGGTAAAACTGAGATCAATTTCAGCCATAGTTTAAAGTGGGTCTTGAAAGTTAATGACTTTTAATCAATTATCAGTATGAGATGACTGTCCATCCCACAGCACTGTTTTTAACAAAATCAAGCAGAAGCATGAAAGCAACACTCTTCTAAAGCCATGTACATCTTTATTACCCACCCAGGCCAGCAAGGATGGGAAAAGAGAATGCAAGTAAAAATAACAATCAGCAAACACACACTACCTTTACTTAAAAAAAAAATTTAAACCATCCAGACTAGAGCAGCCAGAAACATACTCAACATCAGAATAACTGGAACTCCCTGCAGTTTGACAGTGTCACATAAGCAAAAATTACTTGTGAGTTTCTGAAAGCAAGGGCAGAACAAGACAAAAACTTGTGCTTTTTTCTATTACAACAACTGATAATTATTATATATTTTGCAGTAGGCAAACCACCTCAGGGGATAATGGGCAAGAGAGAAAACAAAACTATCCAGAGTTGTTTTGAGAAGAGCTGGGATAAAACTTTTACAAATAGCACCAGAACTAACCCCAAGCTTAAACTAGCCCCAACCAAAATCAATGTCAGAATACCCTGACATCAGCAGGAGCAGAGGCAAGCTTGGTTAAGAGTAAAGAAGTAGAAGACACACACTGGATTGTTCCAGTATATCCCCAAAAAGGTGGCCTCCAACCCCAGAAGTGTAGCTGCCACGGCAGAGGGAGGGTACTACGACTTCTCTGACACTCTTTTGTGTCTACGTAGCAGTAAGAGGCACAGATTTGGTTTTGTCTCCACTCTGGCAGGCTGTTTGCAATCCTAAAAGCAAATCCTGCAGCTCAGCCAACATTTCACATGTCTGTATTCTGTAATGAGCTAGTATTTATCATTCAAGCCCTCTGTAAGATGAAGACTCTTTGTGCTCTAACCACAGCCTTTCATCTAGCCTTGAACAGCTGCTGTCTGGCAGTGACAGCTGAATTTGGTTTTCTCCCTCTGCAGCAATGCACATTTGCCGGTCATCCTTCCCCCAAACCCACTTGTTTGCTGCATGTTGGGGTCAAGATACACAATCCAGTCCTTTCATGCCTGCAGTGTCCCTCTAGGCAAAGCCTGAGAACACTTGCCAACAGGCCTGCCTTCCCACTAATGCTTGTTAAGCATCGCTTCTTCCCACCCTCTGGCCATGTGAGAGCCTGTGATTTTCATGTGGAAGGAGTAGCTGTGATGGGTCACTACAAACTGCTAGCACAGGCATGACTGATCCTCAGCTTCTCTATTAATTCAGAGGCATATCAAGCCTGATTGAAACAGCCATGTGAAAAGCATTTCACTGCTTGAACTGGTCCCAGGCATATGTCAGCTTCTTTGAACCCCACTGAATTACCTGCCACTAAGTTGGGGTCTATTTTATATTGGGGTTTTATGTATTGGTTTGGTTTGGTTTTCTGAAAGTTGGTCATTGCCTTTAAAGATTTAGCCAGTAAAAACTGAAAGCCTTGCACCAGCAGGCAGCAAATACAGCCTGGCTGGACCCGTCCCCAGGGAGCACATCTGCTTTGCCAGTAAAGTGTGGGGCCAAACCTGCTTTTGATATTTAGCTATTCACTATTGGCTATGACTATTCATACTGCTAATTATTGAGACAGTGCTAAGAGGCTGCTTTGGCTGGACCTCCCAGAAGGGGACAGACCAAAGATGCAGCAGGGACCTTACTTAATGTGTCAGGCCTAGATGATCAGCAGACTTGCTTATACATCACCAGTTCCCAAATGTCCTAACCAGGACAGTCAGTGTAGTCTTGAGCTCATCCTTGGAATACAACACAAAATGTTAGTTTCTGTGAAACCCAGCTTCTGAATGTTTCTCTGCCATTCTAAAACTAAAGCAGCTCCACCTCTGGTAGGGAGACTGGGGAAGTGAAACACCTGGACAGACATGAGTGACTGTGCAGCCCGACTGCACGCTACGAACAATCTACCTACACACATGCAAATGGTGGGCTCCTCTGGGTTGGGGCTGAGCCAGACCTTCTAGCAGCACCAGCAGAACTGGAGCACTCAGAAAATTAATCATGTTTCAGATGTGTAATTCAGTCCCCATTAGAATCTATTACACCTCTCTCATTTTCCTCTAGTCCTCCTAAGGCCCAAACAGAAAACGAACTTTTCTGCTAGTCATCTTTTTAAAGAGACAATTAAAATTTCTCCAGTTTATGGTGGCCACCTCAGCCTGGTCTCGGAACCCACTTAGATGCCATGCAAAGTCCCAAAGGAGGGAAACCAATTATAAAAATGAGACATGAGGGGTGGAGGATGTATAATCCACTGTTCTTCCACATAATTACCCAGGAAGTGTGTGGGGAATGCAGATTTCCAGAGCTGAGGCACTAATGCGTTTGCACTAGCACTAACCGACATGGGCTCACAGATGTCCCTGTTCTGAAAGGGAAGGTCCAGCAGCTCTTTCGTAAGAGCAACTTCAAAAAGGGAACAACTGTTTCAGTGAGACCTTCCCATCCCAAGCACCTTCAACATTTGATACGGTTTAGTGGTGGTCTTGGCTGTTCTGGGGTAATGGTTTGACTTGATAATCTTAAAGCTCTTTTCCAACCTAGCTGATTCTATGATTCTAACCCCACCTACCTAAATATAGGTGCTGCCACCTGTATTGCAGTGACATGGAACCTGATTATGCTTCCTCAGAGCAGGTGTTTCTTCCCTATAAATGACACCCTTGGCACTGCACCCTGCATACGACTCTCACAGCCTGTTCTTCCCTAACAGTGCACCTATCAAGAAATCAAATGTAGGTGTGTCCTAAGCACCTATTTGTGCAGCTGGGGGTGCTTGGTGACAGGTCCATCAGGTCCCCATGCACCACATTACAATGCAAGTCTTTCCATCATGTGATGGGTGTGTTTCAGTGTAGAGTTCATCATGTCGGAGCAATCCCAGGCACAGCTACAGGCTGGGCAGAGAAGAGATTCAGAGCAGCCCTGCAGAGAAGGACTTGGGGTGCTGGTCAGTGAGAAAATGAACATGAGCCAGCAGTGTGCGCTTCTAGCCCAGAAAGCCAACTGTATCCTGGGCTGCATCAAAAGGAGTGTGACCAGCAGGTGGAAGGAGGTGACCCTGCCCCTTTATTCTGCTCTCGTGAAACCTCACTTGGAGTATTGTGTGCAGTTGTGGTGTCCTCAACATAAAAAGGACATGGATCTGTTGGAACAAGTCCAGAGGAGGGCCACGAGAATAATCAGGGGACTGGAGCACCTCCCATATGAAGATCGGCTGAGAAAGTTGGGACTGTTCAGCCTGGAGAAGAGAAGGCTGCGTGGAGACCTCATAGCAGCCTTCCAGTATCTGAAGGGGGCCTATAGGGATGCTTCATTAGGGACTGCAGTGATAGGACAAGGGGTAATGGGTTCAAACTTAAACAGGGGAAGTTTAGATTGGATATAAGGAGGAAATTCTTTCCTGTTAGGGTTGTGAGGCACTGGAATGTGTTGCCCAAGGAGGTTGTCAATGCTCCATCCCTGGCAGTGTTCAAGGCCAGGTTGGACAAGGCCTTGGGTAATATGGTTTAGAGCGAGGTGTCCCTGCCCATGGCAGGGGGGTTGGAACTTGATGATCTTAAGGTCCTTTCCAACCCTAACCATTCTATGATTCTATGTGCCTTTCTTGGAAGCTGTGCTGTCCTCTCTCAGAGAAAAGCCAGGTCTTTCTGTGCTCTGACAGCGTCTAAGCAGTTAGCTACCTGGAATGTTTGCTGCACTTGTTGGAAGGATTGGAAAAGGACCCTTTTTAGGAAAACTGTAGGAACATCACATGATTTGCAATTTACCCTTCACCTCTGAATGGGTTCTTAGCTCCAGAAGTTCATCTCCTGAGTATGGACTTCTTTTCACGGGGTCAATAGGTCACTGTTATGTCCTACTCCTGAAAAAGAAAGTCTAACTTTACAGAAGTGAATTTTTCAGCATGTCTCTCTGCTGTGCTACAAACAGTGGGAGCACCACAGACCTGGATTTTCTCACCATTCCTAGAAGTTGTAATTAGCTAAAACAGATGGCAAATCCTTGGAGAGCCATGCACCTCCCCACCCAGACCATGTGAAACTAGCACACTTGCATTCTATGACATTTAAAGAGCACTCCCAGCCCACTATTTTTTTCATTAAGTTTGTGTTTAAATATATATATATATATAAATTCAGTGTGTTGTTTTTTAGATGAAAACCACTTACATATGACTAAAATAGTCAGCCAGGACAAAGGCTCAGACTGCCGAGGTCTCAACCCCCTGTGCAGAGCTCTTGCCAGAGAGACTACCTGAGATATTATCAGAATCTAGCAGCTCCACAATGCTGTATGGAGAACAATCTTCCAAACCCAGCTTGCTGCAGAGCCAGCCACAAAAGCCCTTCTCCATATCCCTGACAGCATGCCACCAGTACCCAAAGGACCATGCTACCTGGGCCACAGCTGAGTACAGGCCTAGGGAAAAAGACACAACCATAATTATAATTGGGTAGAAGATGATCAGAAAGGGACAAAAGGTGATTTTGTGCCAGAAGGTCCTCTCTTCGTTGTACACCAAGAAGATGTTATACCATGTAATGGTTCCATAGTAGAATGAAACCACAAAGGACACTACAAAAATGACAGGGAGGCAAATGATGGTCCAGAGGACGATGTGGGGTCCTCTGTCTAGCCCAACATCACATTTCTTCTTCTTCTCAGGTACATCCTCTTTAGGAGGTTCCTTTGACTTAGCGAGTTCCTGCAGCTCTTTGTCCGTTAGTGTGACATGGATGTCCACCATCTGACCCTTCTTCTTTCCCCTGGTGATTGTTCCAGTCAAGGTCACATATCGGCTGTCTAAAGGCATGTTCCAGACACCTACAAGCACAGATAAACTCATCTATGTTAGATTTATTGTGTAAATCCCCAACGACCCCAAAGACAATTAGATAATGCAAATGGAGTAACAGATTTTAAAAAGATGGAATGCAAGAAGCAATGCAGTATAAAGAAGATCATCATAGAAGAAAATGGAAGAAGAGCTAATGAGGGAGAAGACAAAATTCCAGAATACAGAAACCACAAGGAAGAAGATTCCAGCATCTGAACTAGGGAAAATGTGTGAAGGGAAAGTGCTGCAGGAGTATATGAGAAAGAGATGAGATAGAGTGAATGAATCAAAAATGGTATGCATATTTTCTCTGGTATCCTCACACATTTATTCCTGAACAGTGTGGACACTTGGGGTGAATTAGACAAATATGATTAAAACTCCTGTTCTGGAACAAGCACATCCACACATGGAGTTATATAGCTATAGTATATAGCTATGCAATGGAATAGCTAATATTTCACTTTACACCTGCATTATGTCTCAATCCAAAATGATTTTCAAAGTCTAGAAAAAACTTAAAAATTCTCATATAATTATATTTACATTTTAAGGCATCAACAAAGATACCAAAAAGTTAAGTGTTGGTATGTGTGCTAAAAGTCACAAACAGACTGCCTTGGCTTCCAAGTGACACTGGTTTATGATGGTCCCTGCAGGAGCACTAGCCATAAACTCTTTTATGGGGCTAAAATACGCTTCTTCTTGGTCTTAAATCTGACTAGCTCAGGAGGAGGTCTTCAGAGCCTATTAAAAGGAGGCTGAGCAGTTTGAAGTGGCCCACAAAAATAAGAAGGCAGCAGGTTAAGTCCTGAGGGTAGAGGCTGGGATCATGGGAGAGTCTGGTGCAGCCGATGGATCCAGAGTATGTATTCACATTTACACCCCTCTCAGCCTGCACTGCTGTTTCACAAGAGGATTAGCCATAGGACCTGCCTCCCACACTTCTTCCCTACAAGGGGATCCAGGACAGACACCAGAAGTGAAAGTTGCTCCAACATGCCCTACGATGACCTTGCAAATAACCACTCTTAGTGAGGAAGCTGGGCTGAGAATATGCAAACAGAAGGCAACAGCAAATCCTACATAATGAGTAAAACTCCCTATCACGGGTAGAGCCACTAAATCCACCTGCTTGCATCCTTTCACTTAACAGGCAGTTGTTTCAGGCACGGAGAGGGGCTTAGTCACAGCATCACTGGCTTAGAACACACTCTTACAGCGTTTTTCTGGATCAACTCCAATTAGCACATACACTTAAAACTAAGAGTGCAGCAACAACCAACCTCTGCAATGAACTGCAGGAGGGAGACAACCCAGCTCAGCCTGTAATGCTTTTTATTTCAGAACATTTTCATGTATGAACTCAAGCTGTCCTTGCCTGCAGACTTGGGGGTAAGAGGTTTGGTCTCACAGTCACTTCCATTTGACTTTAGTGCATGCTGGCACAAAAAAAAGTTTACAGAAAGTTGATGCTCCCAGGAATACATACCATCTGCCGTGGACTGACCCAGGAACTTGGAGCCTTCCTCAGAGCCCTTCTCCCCTCCTTCTTCATCTGCCTGTTCTTCTTCCACCTTATTCTCATTCTCTGACCGATACACTATTATTGACTCAGGACGGGACTCTTTCTTCTTCTTTTTCCTCCGGTCCATAGTGGCTTCCCCATCAAAAGTGACAGTGGTTGCCACAGCCCTTCTCATGGAGCTGCAGCGAGGACTTTGGCTACCAGACTTGCTCTCTTTTTGCATGGTCTCCTCCATCCCACTGCTGCTTTCAAGCACCTCACTTGGCATTTTGCAGCACTCGTTTCCAATTTAACAGCTCCTGCACTTTGAAGTCATTGATCAGACAACAGTGACAAGGGTTCTTTGTTTTGGTAGGATGTCCCACTGCTGGCATCCAAACTATGCACTCCATTCCCAGCCTAAAATGAGAGAGAAGGCTGAAATGGTGTCTTTTTGTTATCAAGTAGAAAAAAATGGCAGAATTTTCCTGTAAAAGGTTACTTCCAACTGGTTTAAATGTCATCTGAAGATCCTTATTACTGTCCTGAACATCAATTTTATTACATGGATACATGTTTTGTAAAATCACCTAATCCTGATTCCCATGTTCCAATTTTAAACATAACAAACCAAAGCTACTGGAAAAGGAAAGAGTATTAACATTTATAAGAAGAGATTAAACAAGCACAGATTACTGGGTGAATTTAACATTCCCCTGCAATGCTGGAACTAAAAAGAAGACAATAGTTTGGCCCACATGCATGAGAATGAAGAAATGAAACCACAGATGAAAAAGAAGTTGACTGATTTAAAAGACTTGCCTAGATGAGAAACAACTGCACCAGGAACACTGAGCTCACCCTGCATTACAACAGCTACATTAGTGCTAGCCTTTCTCATTTTGAATGTCTTTTGACCACTGCAAGGACATTACAAAAAAGCAGATAAATGATGTCAAAATGAATGATGGTTCAAACCATGCCAATTTAGCAATATGTAGTGCTGTCAAACCTTAAAAATATAGCATATACAGTGAATTTAAAGCAAAGGATGACTTCCCTGGAGGGGGAATTGGAAAACAGCAAAATTTTCTGATTGTGCTGGGAAAACAACCCAAAGCTTCACAAATAATTTTAACAAATATAAGGTCTCAGTGTGTACTCTTCATTCAAGCAAAATTAACAATATAAGGTGACACTGTTATCTATGGGAAAGCTGTGTAAATAAAAGAGATATAATTAACCATGCATCAAGGCAGACAAAGCCTTCTCCATAAACATGGAAAAGGCAGGATTATGGGTTCTCAAATTTCACAGCATATAAGAAACTGACTGTGCCAAGTATTCATGAAATATTTAGGTACAAATTTGAATACACTGAATAATGTTTTAACAACTCTGAAGAGCTCTGCTGAACATTTACATTTAAAAGAATGCATGTGACCAATAATTAAGCTTCTACCTAGTATCTGAGTCATCTCCTTAACAGGAAACTAAGAAACAACTAAGAAACACAGTTATCATAATTTGTAGCCCACACAGTTCTGGGGAATTTTTTTAACAGATGCTAGAAAAAAGTTGAGCATTTTTAGATTTGGCAGTATGGTCCTGGTCTTCTCACAAACATAAGATTTTGGTAGTTTGTTTTGAAATCCAACTGCAGGTCCTGAAGGAACTGGTCAATGAAGTTGCTAAGCCACTGTCCATCGTATTTGAAAAATCATGGCAGTCAGGTGAAGTTCCCGATGACTGGGAAAAGGGAAATACAGCCCCCATTTTCAAGGGGTAATGGTTTAAACTTAAACAGGGGAAGTTCAGATTAGATATAAGGAAGAAGTTCAGAGTCTTCTCTTGCTCCTGAGCTGAGAAGCGGGAATGGGTAATGGGGGGACAAGCCCCTAAGCAGCACTGTTGGTGTGGCTGGGTCAGAGCCCTTGGGATAAAGAAGTGAAGGAGCCCAGAGTATTCTGTTTAAGCACAAGCAGGTAAAATCTGATGCCAGTCTGTCTACATCAGAAACAAAAACATGGCAAAGGAGATGCCTTTGATCCAGCAAAGGCAGCCGCAGTAAGATAAAAAGCTGAAAGACACAAATACAGGGCAGATGTTAGGTAGGTGTTTAAACAAAGTGGGTAGGTGTCATTTGATATACGTCACAGAGGGCTGTGGAGAATTGTCCATAACTGGAAACTTCCAAATCTGGACTGGGTGTCTTGCCAGCAGTTGGGTAACCAACATTTCAGCCTAAGAGGTATTAATGTGGACAAGTCCTCTGGCTTGTATTAGGGAGCAGTCAGATTCAAACGGCATAAAGATTCCTCCTGATATTAAGCCTGCTTTCAGAGTAGATGTTTATTTTTTTCTCATCTGTTTCTGCCAATGGAGCAGCTGGGAATATCATCTGCCACCTGGTACAGGCCTGAACACAGCACTTAGAAATACCACCATCAGCCCCACATCCCACAGGGTTGCTGGTGAATCAGACAGGTTCAACGCTCCATCCCATTTTTCCTGGGAATATTTTCTCTGTAGATGCAAACAAAAAATCGGCTCTTGCAGAAATCACAGTAGTGTACACGAAGTTTATTTTTTCTCTCTTCCTTTTCTTTATGTTCTGTAAGAACATGACCAGCCCTCACCACCACACAGCTGTCCACAGCACCAACTCTTTTCAGACATACACCAAGATCTTCACTCCTTAAAAGCTTTGCTGTGGAGCTGAAACATGGCAATTGCTGTGCAGCTAATGCTAGTGATGTCTCCCATGTTGGCAGCACAGGGCCAGACAGGAATCTAATAACTGTCCATTGGAGGGAAGAAATGGTCACATTTCAGAGATAGCTGGGAGCAGTTTATTAGCCAAACAGTTTGTTATTAATCTCCATGTGAAAACAGATGGAGAACCCTGGGGAGGCGGCTCTGCAAAAACACCCTGTAGAGGAATTTTTAGAAGCATAGTCTTCTGTTACTATGCAGGAAAGCTACTGCTGCTTATGCTTCCCATGATAGTATTAGTCTTTGACACACAAAACGGGAGGCTAAAACTTTGGCTTTGCACCATTTAGGTCAGAAACCCATTGGTTTTCACAGCCTGATCCTGCTGCTAACAGAAGAGAAATTATCTGGTTTGAATACAGACAGGAAGGAAGAGCCTTCCCACAAGCTAAAAAAAAAGAATCCTTGATCTTAAATCCTGCTACAGCAGAAGTAACCTTTTTATGACTGCTCAGAGCAGACGTGAGCAAAAAACATAGACAGTAAGCAGTGAGGAGCATCAATTCTTATTTTAATAGTCATATAAAATGTACAACATGTAAGAACTAGCAGTGTCTTCACTCACATGATGCAGGGGTTATCTGCAGAAACAAAAAACAACCTGTGCTTTAGAAGTATTATGAGTTACCCAGAACAGGAAAGAGATAAGGGGAAATACACCCCAGAGACACACCTTGAGAGAGTGCTCCCCAGCCACAGATCCTCCTTCACCTGTTCCTTTTACTCCATAGCTTCTCCATCCCCAGTCCCTTCTGCATCCAACCCTACCTCTGATTTTGTGCATGGGGATGTGTATGTTTCTAACAATGCCTATTACCTAGTATTTTTAGAGGGGTTATCTGCTGGCAGGTTGTACACATGGAAAATAGATGGTAGCAGACACATGCAGCTGTTTAGGACAGATTCGTTTGTCACAAGTCACGTTATAAAAAAAGGCACTGGTCTAATGCAGGACATGCAGCCCCAGACCTTAACAAACATGTGGCAAGACCTATGTAAGAAAGCACATTTAATTCAGACCTTATGCTTGGAGAGGGCCAAACAGTAGGGCTGCCTCAACAACTCAATACCTAAATGACCCCACATGATCTTTCACATATATGTCCTCACCATACCCTGCTGAAACAGAGGACGTACGTCTCCTATTCATGGTGAAATAGCTCAAACTACATTACCCAGCCACTTGAATGTAGCAAAAAAACCCTCAAGCTGTGATGAATAAAGTGTTAGAAGGCAAGAACAGCCTCTCTTTATGGTCTGTGCAGCTGGAGGTAAGCTTGACAGAGTGATTTGTCTCACTGTAAATAATGGTTTCGCATTTTAGAAGAAAATAAAATGTTATCTTCAGCCAGATGAATTTCCTCATCAGGTTCACCATGCAGCTACCCCTGGAGGAAAGAATTTTCAAGGAGGGGGAGAAAAACTACTCACAGCAGTGCCCACTGTGAGGTTTCATGAAGTGTCCGCGTAACAATAGCAAGAGGCACAAAGAGAAACATCTGACTATGCCATCTCAGCAAGGTAGGAGAAAGCAAACAGTAAAACTCATAGATTGCACCTGTCTTTTCCTCCCTGCTTAATCCACAAGCTTCAAAGTACTTTCATTTGTCAGAGAAAGACAAGAAAAAAGACCATGCTCTGTCCACTCAAGCAGAAGTAGACCTCAAGGACTACTTTTTGGAGTGCCAAAAGTAGAAGATGGCACCAAGCACTGGAACAGATAAGATAATGCAGTAAGATGATTCATGCCACCAAAAAACTTCATGGGTGTTTGCTAATGGAGACCACACCCCATGTATCCCCCAAGAAGCAGAGGGTTCTAAAAACTCAAACTAAAAGCAAAGGGAGGACCAGGCAAGCAGCACAGTCCCATGTTTGCAGAGTCCTGATTTATCAGCTGGCACAGGGCTCTTGCTTGTCAGCAGGTGGCATTAGTGCCAGGGCTGAGCAGCTTCTGGACCTATCCCACTGGCCCACCTGTGTTGGCCAACACAGGTAGACTATCACTGAAGGTGCAGGTGCAGACTCACTTGGGTGTGATTAAGGGCTCGCTGGCTCCCAGTGCCACACACTGGGTGGCTCAAGCCCCTTGCTCTCTCTCCCTGTGTCTTTCCATGAGATACACAAACGCTTGCTGACAATAATCTACAAATACAGCCAAAACAACAACCAAAAAAAGTAGTGGAGAGAGGTGTTCCTAAGTATCACTAAATTGTTTCTGGATTACATTTTCAGAGGATTTTTTTTAAAGTCAAGGACATTTTATAGAGCATTGGGTTTATGAATCAGTTATTTTTATTTTCCTCTGCTGTTCCGTAACTTTTCCAAATGTCACAGAATAATAACTGCTGTGTAGATCACTATTACTGAAGGCTGGAAAACAGCATACAAGAATAGCTGTGCATTTCTATTTTATATTAAATTAAATGCCTGATTTTCTTTGCATACAATCTTTTTCAAAATCCCCCAAATGTACTGGTCTACCTTATTTTAGAGTGGAAGCCTGAACTGCTGTCTCTCCCTCCCCTCCCCACTCCTTTGTCCAGACTGCTAGAAAAAAGAGAAATTGAGACAAAGGACACAAAGCTTCCCACTGCCTCCACAGGGATGAGATCTGTTTCTTTGCGTTTATTATACTATGCTAAAAATGTCAATGAATGGCACTTGCACATTAGCCTTTAAAGAGAACCAAGGCTTTAAAAGGAAAATGACTTGGAAATGGAGGTTGTTTTGAAATCTTCAAAGCAAACCAAATGGTTTAGATATGAAACTTGAATAAAATCAACAGAAGTCCCTGTATCTTGTAAGAAAAAGATCTCAATGATAAAGTGGAGCCAGCATGTTCTCCTGTTGCCCTGCTCTACCCCTCACTTCTTCATTTGCCAAAGCAGGCCATACTGCACCTTGAAACAGCAGATGCCTATTTTAATTCCTACCCACATCCACCAGATCACTGATGGATCACACTGTACAATAGGAACAGCCAAAAGAAGTCAGTCCCACCAACTTGAGCACAACATCCTGCCTCCATTGCAGTGCCCTTCAGCTGGAATCAAGTGTTGCATCTATTTTTATTGGTATAATACCTGATTCATCCTCAGTTTGAAGGCCTGATATTAAATGTGATGGGAAGATGCACTAGGGGCTTGCTGTGCACATCAAAACCATGTTGTGCCTCCTCTAGGCATCCAAGTAGAATGCCTATATCCAAGTAGATGCCAAGAAGACAGTAACATAGCAAGCATACAGTACATTAAAACAGAGTTTTGAGCCTCTCACATCCCCTTTCAGAGCTCAGAGAAAACACATTCTAAACACACACACACACACACACACAAGTAAGAAACACTGGGAGTTGCTATGGCTGAAGACTGCAGAGCTACGAAGCACCAGTGCTGGGTGTGAAACACTTGTGCTAACGCAAGACAACACAGTCCTAGCTACAGACCTTGTGGGAAGGTGAATTCAGGGAAGGATTGCAAGACCTCTCTCTCCTTTTCTTAGGAAATCATGCAGTGCTTTCACCAGGATGTTTTAATACATGCTGGACTCTTGCCTGACCTTTACAATACCTAAAAACTAGGACTCTGTGTTAGCACCTCAGGCTCTTTTTCCATCCCTTGATACTCAAAAGATCCCTGACTATCTCTCTTTCTCCTCTCCTTTCCTGCCCTGCTCTCTGCTGGCAAGGTCAAAAAAAAAAAAAAAAAAAAAAGCCAATGATTTGCTCAGACAAAATTAGGAGAGATCACACATAGAATTACCTGCAACTAGAGAGCAAGAAGTTGCAGTCATGCAGCCCAATGGGAAACACAGGCAATTGTAAATCCAGTCTGGAAAATATTATCTGAAAAATACAACCACCAAATCACATCATGAAATCATAGAATAGTTAGGGTTGGAAAGGACCACATCCTGTGGTTCTTATTTAGACAAGGTATTTGGGGGCTTCAGATCAGAGCTTTTTCAGACTTATACCTGGCTGCAGCCCAGGAGTTGCTCATGAGCCAAACTGCACAGAGAACTAGAAGATTCCCCTGGGAGTGATTCAGGATCGCTTAATGCATTGCACAGTAAATATAATCCAAGATATTTAGACAGTCTCTCCAGCAGCAGGAATTAGTTGGCTCAGGGGACTCTTGATCTGATACAAGTTCAGATACAGATCCATGATGCCAGGGTATTAAAAATGTAGCACTTTCAATTGCAGACAAGTGAATGCTTCAGTTTTATTAGTATGGTATTAGCAGGGTGTATGATTATAAATAAGACCTGCCTACGTATCAGTTTCAAAGTGTTTGATGCTGATATTCTACACCTTCCACCACTACGAACTCTGCTTTGAATGGCGTGTCTGTCTTCAGCAGCATCTTTTTTTCTAATCACTGAAATGAAATTCCTAGGGATGACGATGAAAGGTTAGAAAATCCTGATTATCTCCTATTTAGACTAAAATCCCCCAAGAAACTACTGAGAGTAAAGTACCCTTCCAGAGGAGAATTCTCTGAAGAGATGAACCAACCAGAAAGCCTTGACCAACAGCTGGGGTTGGCCAGAAGGCGTTCTGATACAGAAACCAGAAGCCACAACACAGAAAGGCACTTAGATGCTGGTGAGATATGATGAAAAGAAAAACAGCCACAGGAGAAAATGCACAGTCAGGAGGTGAAAGTAGCAGGGATTTCCAAAGAGGCCTTCTGCATAATCCTACAGAAAGGTCCAGAAAGGTAAGGAAAGAGATACCACACTCATTTTCATTTGGTTTTGGCTCAGTTCAGGCATTTCTTGTAATAGGTATGGGAGGCAGGGAGAAATTACTGTTGTTACACTTTATGCAATTTGGTATCCCATAGAAAAGATATGAAACTGAAGCATCCATAAGAGTAGGGTTCTGGGAAAGCAAAGGAGGCTGAAGTGCAAGCCTGATTTTTTCTGAAGGCTAACTAGCAGAAACCCTCTGTCATAAGTCATCTCTGGCATTAAAGAGTTATTTCTGGCACTGAGATGCTTTTACTTAAATCTCCTCTACTCTCACCTTGTGAGGCTGCTGGCCCCAGGGATACCTCTGCTGGGGTTTGGATCCCACAGAAGTTTCTCTCCTGTTTGGAGCAATCTGTTTTCTCACATCAGGCTGGTATTTAACAATTCTGAGACCTTCCCCTTGCGAACATGGATTACAAGCTATAGGAGGGCGTAGACGCCCTGAAGGACAACGGGCTGTAAGAAGTTAATGCAGTATATAACATTGCCAGGGTTTTTAAAGCATGGCAGCATACTGGACTGGCATATGTCATCAGCTGAATAGCTAAGCCATAGGCTGGCAAAGCACAAGAATCAGCTTATGAAATGAAGCAACATTTTCTAAAAATGCAAAGTTCCCTATTCATCATGGCAAATTGAACTAGTTCATTCAAAGCCAAGACACAAGCTGAGAGCTGTTAAAACCGGGAAATACAGTTTTTCCCTTTTTCATTTTATAAATAAAAAAAGTAGATGTTGAAGAATGACATGTGCTAGTCCCACAAATCTGAAGGAGCTGACAACTGGAAAAAAAACTACTGATGAATTCTTTTTCACAACGTCGTTTTGATTTTTGAATGGTTAATGTTTTAAGAGATAGATATACCAAAAGGGGGTAGGAAGAGGGGAATCAGGTGCTTTTAACTTCAAAATAATGCAAATTAGGACTCTGAAGCTTTAAATGCAGATTTATTTTCTTCCAAATGCAAACTGACACATACTGAGTAAATAAATAAATAAATAAATCAGCTGCCTAATCAGACCGTTTCCTAACACATAAAAATTAAGAATCTGAAGAATAACATAAATATATAAGAAGAGCCTTCTGCTTACTGAATTTACCACTATGGCTGCATGTAGTGACAGAACAGCATGTTTTAATGCTACCAATAAAAGAAAACATTCATTTGCAAATAAGAAAGTACAAACATAGAAGATGATTAAAATCAATTTTAGTTAATAGGATTTTTTTCTTTTCAGCTTAAATAATTTTGAATTTCAATCACTGGAGTAAAAGCAATTCACACAAAGATACACTTTGAATCCTTGGTTCAAAGGCAACCTATATGACAGCAAGTCATTCCCTTGCTGAAAACATCTGTGAGCATTGGTTATCTCAGCCCTGTTCTTTGTGCACAGATTTTGTACCAGAAGGCGCTACTGTCCACTGAATGCCAAGGAACGGATGTCTTCTCAGTTCCTGCTCTCTAGTCTTTATGTCTTTCCCTTTTCTCCTCCCACCCACCACTCATAGATCCTTAACTCATGTGTTCAGCCCCTTACTTATGACATTCCTATGGGTACTGAGAAATTAAAAAAAACAAACAACTTATCTATGATTCTATTATGATAGGTAAGAAAAAGGAATTTGCTAGTGCTCTCTAGGAAGAGCACTGAAATCAAGCAAGTCATATGAGCAGAGAGGCCCACTGGATTTCCCTTGGTGACCTGCAGCTCAGTTGGGATGGCAGGCAGGTTGGAATATAAAGATCTAGTTCACTAGCACAGATAAGTGCTTCTCCCTGGGATTAATTAATGATCACTGTGATACAGCCTAAGATATGTAGGGCAGCCAGAGACAGTTAATGGGGATCTGTGGCAGTGTCACCCACAGTACTTCACATTTTGCCTCCAGGAAGTAATACCATGCTTTAAAATATTAAGGTATTCTGCGAACATTAAGCCACCTGGAAGGCCACTTTGTCTAATGGTTGCCTCACTGGCCTAAGTCACTATGCAGAAGTCTATTCCTGTCTTATCACCCTTTTCTGAATGAGTCTGGACACACTGTCAATTTCTCCATGCATCCTCTTCCCTACAGTTAAAAGGAGGGTATACAGCTTCCTTTGAAACACACTGAACTCCAGGGTGAAGATGTTATCATACATTTGCCTCTGATTCAAAGTACTAAACTTTAGGACATGTTTTGGGAAAAGTAAATAAATTTGTTTAACAAACGAGAAAGCCACATCGATTCAATAATTCTCATGTTTTTCAAAATAAAAACCAAACCAACCAAACAAAACAACTTTCTCACTCTTCTCACATTAACAATCTCCCCTAAGGCAAAAATAACGGGACAAAATTTAGATATAATTACAAACATCTCTTCTATTGAAAAGGACAGAGGAGATGCCTGGAAAGATACTGAACATGCACACACGCTCCAGGGCACATCACTGCTGGTTAAAATCACCTGCAATGGACAAAGATGCTTTGTCGCTTCACTGTGGGATACGCAGGAAAATAACGTTGTCTGTCCTCTGTGCCAATTGAATAATTACTACTGAGCTTATTGAGGGCGATTTTAAGTGGGGGAAAACAAAACCCCGTTAGCACACAATGGCTATGTTAGGGACAAGTAAACGGCACCACCTCAGCCTTCACAGCCTCTTCCTGACAAAGCCCATGCCTGGAGACAGGATTCTCCGTCCGCGGGTGCCTGGCAGGAAACACCAGCAGCTTTCTCTGCTATTTACGACACTTTTAGAGCATTACACTGTCTCCTCCTGGCTGCGGTTCTGTTACTGTGCTCTTCACGGTGTCTTCCCTCGTCGCTGAGGAAGGTGACCCGAAACGGTGCAGAAAAACACCAGAACCCCTCCCTGTACAGCAGGCGAGACCAGGGGTGGGGGCAGCTGGGTCGGCTTCGAGGCTCCAGCAGGCTGAGGCGACCCCGAGGCACCAGGAGGAACCGACCCCTCCCAGGTGCTCGGACGACGGTCCCTCCACCGCAGGGACAAACCCGGCTGCCACTTACCCGCGGATAACTGCCCCACCTCCCGCCCCTTACCTGCCGCCCGCGGGGCCCCGTACCGCGCCATGCTGTGTTGCAGAACGACCCGTGCTACCAGAACCACAAGCGCCTCCACCCTGCTCAGCCAGCACCGTGCTCTGCGCACCCGGGGCGGGCGGGGCTGCGCGTCACGTGGCGGGGGTGGCGGCCGTGGCCGGGTGGCGGCCGGGCGGCGGCCGCGGCGGCTGTGCGAGGCGCTGTGTGAGAGAGGAGGAAGATGGCGGTGACGCACGGACTGCTGGCGGCCGGACTGCTCCGCAGGCGGGTGGCCATCGTCACTGGCGGCGGCACCGGCATTGGCAAGGCCGTTGCCTCCGACTTGCTGGCGTTAGGTGGGCACGGGGAGGGTCCGCGGGGAGACCTGGTGGGGTAGAGGGGCAAGGTGGGTTTCGGGGGAGCGGGGCCGGGAGGGAGGTGAAGGCGGGGGATGGAGTTTGAATGGGAAGGCTCGGGGGATTGTGTTGTGTTTTGGGGGTAGGCAGCGCTCGGAAGCAGCTGAGGAGTTTGAGGGTGGGACTGTGACGGGACTCAGTGAACAGTGATGACGGGATGAGGTTGATGTGGGACTGTATCTTTTGACCTGCTTGCACTTAAAAAGATAACGTTGTTTTAAACTAGAGTGGTCAAAGTGAAGTTAACATTACACTCGGACCCTTTCATATTTTCTCTTAACCGAGTTTTCATCTTGCTCAAGTGGAGGATTTACTTGGTTGTTAAACTGAATCTTAATGGAGTAGTACGGTTTTTAACTGTTGTCTGCATGGGCAGCTTAAGAGAAATGGTGCTTCTCACTCGGTGCTTGTGACAGAAATGCCCTGAAGTTAATCTTAGCCGCTTTTTGGGTTTTCTTACCACATTGATTATAGAGAAATGGTAGAATCTGGAGTGAATCATAGAATCATAGAATAGTTAGGGTTGGAAAGGACCTTAAGATCATCAAGTTCCAAGCCCCTTGCCATGGGCAGGGACACCTCGCTCTAAACCATCTCACCCAAGGCCTCGTCCAGCCTGGCCTTGAACACTGCCAGGGATGGAGCATTGACAACCTCCCTGGGCAACCTATTCCAGTGCCTCACCACCCTAACAGGAAAGAATTTCTTCCTTATATCCAATCTAAACTTCCCCTGTTTAAGTTTTAACCCATTACCCCTTGTCCTACAACTACAGTCCCTAATGAAGAGTCCATCCCCAGCATCCCTATAGGCCCCCTTCAGATACTGGAAGGCTGCTATGAGGTCTCCACGCAGCCTTCTCTTCTCCAGGCTGAGTGAAAGGCAATCTTCTGAGTAATCCACCTTGCAACACCTTTTCTACAGGTTTCAGTGTAGTTGCTACGGATCATTGCCATCAGACTTATTTCAGATAACATGTGTTACCACTGTTGATTCGCTCTCTTCAGATTACCAGTGCTATTATGCCATACTCCCTGTGGTTTGTGCTCTTGGAATGAGCACTGTGCTATTTCGGTGGGTAGTAAAGAGCTTTTTTGGTTAAGACTGTGCTGGGAGGCATCTTTACCTCTCAAGCCCTTTATCACAGCTTTCCACATACTCAGTGGAGATGAAGTGGGGACTATTTGTGCTACCTTTGTATTACTGGTGAACTAAGCAGGTTTTTTAAGCTGTAAGGACATGCTACCTTAAAGAGGTGCTTTTTGGGGATCATCATGTTGTTGTTCGATGAAGTTATGCAGTTACCTTAAAATTGTACTTATTTTGATCTGCATTATTTTTCTCAAAGTAACAAAAGCATATATCCATAACATCATAAATAGAAAACAAGGCTGCAAATCATATGTGAGAAAATGAAGAAAGAACTATGGCTGAAGTTCATCTGTGTAACTGTCTTTACCTGCAGTCTTGCTGGCTACTCCTGACAAGAAAACAAGCAGGAATTATTTCCATGTATACTTTGCAGTGTAGGCTGTATCATTTTGGAGGAGTGCTGGATGAACAGAAAATGCCTGTAGAAGCAGTGGCAGATAATGCCAGTCATGATGTAGCTTGTTTTTATAACCAGTCTTGTATGAAGCCTTATGTACAGATTTAAACCTTCTATCTGGAAAACTGTGCTCTTTGTCCCCTGACTTTATCAGGAAATGGCCTGGTCATTCTTTGTGAATTAAAATAGGTGAAGTTTGTATAATAAGTACCAAGTGTACCTCAGTGAGTTAGAATCTCCCCATTCACCAGTTATTTAGCAAAACTATGATCTTTTACTAGACCTTACTCACTATCAGTGTGTGTATTAATAAGCACTGAAGTTGGTAAATATAACTGTGCTCCTGTGATTTAGTATTTTGTGTTAATTGTTAATTGTGTGTGCCATTTTATGAGCTCTGCGTTAGTCAGGTGGTTGTGCAAGTGACTGGAGTTCTTAATTTAAAAAATCAGGAGATGTCAGAGACTAATCTTTACATGTGTTGTTTTAAGACGGCCACTGATTGAAGCTGAAGCTCCCATTCTTAGGGACATGTAGTTACAGCACTTCCTTCTGGAAGAATTAAACTCCTTTAGTTATTTATTTACTTTTATGTATAGTTTTACAAAACACCGAGCCAAATGAACAGCTTGCTGCTCTTTACACCTACTAGTTATTTTGAGCTGATTCTCATGTTTTTTTGATCATGAGAGGCCAAATTCCACTCAGCAAAATAGCAACAGCAATAACAAAAAGAAAAAACAACCAACCAAAGAAAAAGAAAACAACACAAAACAAAAAACAACCCCCCAAAACCCCACCAACCCACCTGTCAATATGTTAACTTTTTTGGTGGTTTTGACTGGTTGAGGGTGTTGAATTGGTCTGTATTGAAGCAGATGAGCAGCGGAGCTGCTGAATGGCTTCTGCTGGGCTTCTGAGACTATGAGAGGAGGGAACTGGGAGCAAGATGTCCTTGCCTGCTTGGCAGTAGAAGCTAGTAATTTGCTTATACATAATACAAAATTGTATGCCTACTGGATTTGTATTAGGAATTAATTTGGTGTGCTCTGCTTTTGTCTGTGTAGTAGCAATTGCTGAAACCTGAAAGCTGTCCTGAGTCCATTGGTGTGACAGAGAAACTAGACTGGTTGTAGTGTGATTGCCATTAATTTGTCAGCTGCATTGTTTTCCTCTGTAGAATGAGTTCTCCTGCCTCCAAATGCTGAAATAAAAAAAAAACCAGAAGACTTGAGCTCCTGCCTATTTTTTCTTCTCCTTTCTGAGCTAGGATTCTGCAGTGTGTGGTGATGCCACAGGGAAGTATCTGTGCTTGCTCTCTATAGTCTGCAGACAGGAATTAATCTTGTGAGGCTGTCATCCTTCCCTTCAGACTCTGTAGGGTTAAAAAGTATTTTCTCACTGCTAGTCCAAATTACGGCCAGACATGCAGTAAGATTATTTTTGTGGTTTTAGGAGCAAGGGTCTTTTTGTAATTAAGACCTGCTGAAACATCTTTAATTCATGTAATTGATAAACGCAGCTGTGAGCAGAGGCAGCAGAAGTGCTATCTGAAAGCTACTTTGCTGACTCTGCAATTCACAGCCTATCTTCCCTTCAGCAGGAAGGACAGGAAACCTTGTAGACATTTTTTTGATTGCTCTTCTCCTGGCACAGTGGGATCTTGTTGCTAAGAAGCACCTGACATCAGTAATTTCTCTTGCAAGAATTTCAAGACTGTATCTTCTAGACAGTGACTAATAAACTCACATCCTACAAGATACCTCCACAATGTTATTAAAAAAGCCCAGCGTAACTGTAATTTTAACTATGTCACCTGAAGGATGTTTCATTTTGTCTCTACAGGTTGCAATGTTGTTATTGCCTCTCGTAAATTTGACCGACTAAAAGCTGCTGCAGAAGAACTGAGTAATAAATTTTCTTCCATCAGTCCTGCCAAAGTGACTCCCATACAGTGCAATATCCGCAATGAAGATGAGGTAAAACTAGTGATGTTGTTCTGGGGATTAACATGTCTACAGTATATTCTGTAAATAAATTGAGCTCTCCAAAGCTCTGCTCTGTCCTTCTCAAAAGTGGCTTAGAATAGGGGAAAAGTGCTGTAAAGCTGTGTTAAACTGATCTAGATAAATTTTTTTTCCAAGGGAAGACTATTTTTTAATCACCTAAGCAAGAAAGCATTTCTAACTGCAGATATTTTTCTGACCATGCATATGTATTTCAGATATTTCTGGGAGAAGCAAACTTTGGAACTGGCATGTTCTACAGCCGAGTCAGAGCCCACTTAGCATGGTTCTTTGTCACATTGCTGTGACAGCAGTGAGGGGGCGTTAACTTGTGAGGATGGAGACCTCAGAATAGTTCCTTCAGTCAGGAAGTCACAGCATGGAATCTCAGTGCCTGTGACTTGACACAAGTGCCCTGCATTGTCAATTTCGCTTGTACTGAAGGAAAAAAGAAAACAACAAAAAAGAAAACAAACAAACAAAACAAAACAAAAAAAGACACCCAAAAAAAACCCCAACCAAATGCTATGGATATTATTATTTTTAGCCACATTTCAATTTTTGGTTACAATTTGTAGTGTGCTTCATTCCGAACTCTATTACTATCCCACTTGAGTTGCTTTTTCTTCTTCAGATTGCAAAGAATGGAAGATGAAAAGCAAAAGTACTTAATCCACATTCTTCAGAAGTCAGCATTCACATCCTAGTTTTTTAATCTGTGTAACTAAACATTTAAAAGTCTATCATCAGGTTGCACTTTTAACTTATTGAGGAGAAATCGAAAATATTCCAGTAACCACTGACTGCTACATTTTTCTTAACCTTTTGAAGTCTCTGTTAAATTCTAGTGTAACTTAAATTCTAGTATAACTTACTTAATGACCTTCACTTGCTATGTAGGTCTGGAAATAGCCTAACATACAACCATAAAGCAAATAAAAAAAATAAAATTCTTCCCTCAGGAAACAGCTAGTGCTATAAAATACTTAGTGATATATTCAGACTTTCTCTCCTGAAGGAGATGAGCCTTGAGGCTGTGCATATGTCACTTCACCTAGCAGTGAATTTTAGGGTAGTATTTACTAGCATCAGCAGTGAAATATAATAGGTTATGGCAGATGTCAGAGGGCAACTTACATGATTAAAGCTACAGGAAAGAAAATGGATAAAGAGAGAGAAAAGGCTTAAGCTTTCTTTCACATCACTGTTCTTGTAGAAAGTACTCTGGCATGCCCAATAACCTTCTGCAGGTAAATCTTATTTTTGCATCAGTTTAAAAATGAGTTAGTGGGAACTGCAGTGTTCTGTGAGATGATAGGGACCTTGGATGGCAAAATGAGGTGATCTCCACTAAACTACCATTCATTTGTTCCCTGTTTATTAAGTGTGACTAACTATGTATTTGACAAAACAGCCTTAGATGGCTTTGGAAACTTTTTTGAAGGTGCTTTTAAAGCCTATTTTGTAGTGCTGTATAAAGTTTTTTGGCATTATTCTGTTACTGGTAGCCAAGCTGATAACTTGGAGAAACTTCTGCTTTGCTATTACCCTGCAGTTTCATCATAGAATTGGCTTGTTTCTCATGTAGTTTTAATCTACTCATTTACAGATGCACCTGAACTTTTAATACAGTGTTGGAGAAGCCTCTATCAGGCCAGTGCAAGTTCTCTTAAATCATAGAATCATAGAATAGTTAGGGTTGGAAAGGACCTTAAGATCATCTAGTTTCCAACCCCCCTGCCATGGACAGGGACACCTCACACTAAACCATCTTACCCAAGGCCTCGTCCAACCTGGCCTTGAACACTGCCAGGGATGGAGCATTCACAGCCTCCCTGGGCAGCTCATTCCAATGCCTCACCACCCCAACAGGAAAGAATTTCTTCCTTATATCCAGTCTAAACTTCCCCTGTTTAAGCTTGAACCTGTTACCCCTTGTCCTGTCACTACAGGGCGACAGTTAAATCATTGTCATTTCATATCTCTTTCTATTGAAGAGAGGGTTGAGAGGAGTAAGGTAAATTAAACTCTAGTCTTGCATTTTTCAGTCATCAACTCTATCTTATAGTTTGACTCACTTCAGTTTTCCAACTGCTCTTACTACTTTCTGTTGAAATCTTATTTAGCAAAAATTCGCTATGAAAACTTCACAAGTCTTTTATGGAGGTTCTAAGTAAGGAATGCAATTTCTGTTGCTTGTTAACATAAGAACTTCAGTATTCATGCTAAACAAATATTTATCCATTCCAGATGCCTGTCTCCAAGACCAAATATTTTTAATAGTTAGAGACATCCTGTGATTTTTTGTTCTTTAGCTCTTGTTTTTGTTTCAACAAGGGAAGAAAACTTCGGAGTTCAGGTCCTCCTTAGATGTCAGAACTGATCCATCACAAGCTACAAAGCCCAGGAAGCTTCCTGAAGAACTACATAATTCATTTATTATTTCCTTCTCTTTGACATCTCACTGAAACCTTTCTAAGATTAAGTCTTTCTCTTAAAGGAAGCCACAGTTATCACCTTTAAGAACAAGCCATCTGTTTGTTTTTTTGTTTTTTTTTACATCCCTACATCTCTACCAGTTATTCTGCTTTTCTTTAAAGGTCCCTATGAATTTTGTCATGGCTTTAATTTTATAATAGGGCAAACTGGAGGGAGAGATTCTCAGTAGGGGAGATCTGAGGAAAATGAAAGTGCTTTCAAAATTGCCAGATGATCTTTTAGTTTGCTTGGGCTTTTTCACCTCCTAGTACAAATCTTAAACTAACTGACCTGCTTTGGAGGCGACACAGCTCATTTCTCCTGTATATCTTACTCTGGATCTGTGAAACACCTGGGTTGGGGCAATCCCAGGCACAGCTACAGGCTGGGCAGAGAAGAGATTCAGAGCAGCCCTGCTGAGAAGGACTTGGGGGTGCTGGTCGATGTGAAAATGAACATGAGCCGGCAGTGTGTGCTTGCAGCCCAGAAAGCCAAATGTATCCTTGGCTGCATCAAAAGGAGCATGACCAGCAGGTGGAAGGAGGTGATCCTGCCCCTCTGCTCTGCTCTCATGAGACCTCACTTGGAGTATTGTGTGCAGTTCTGGTGTCCTCAACATAAAAAGGACATGGAACTGTTGGAACAAGTCCAGAGGGGGACCATGAGGATGATCAGGGGACTGGAGCACCTCCCGTATGAAGATAGGCTGAGAAAGTTGGGGCTGTTCTGCCTGGAGAAGAGAAGGCTGTGTGGAGACCTCATAGCAGCCTTCCAGTGTCTGAAGGGGGCCTATAGGGATGCTGAGGAGGGACTCTTCATTAGCGACTGTAGTAATAGGACAAAGGGTAATGGGTTAAAACTTAAACAGGGGAAGTTTAGATTGGATATAAGGAGGAAATTTTTTCCTGTTAGGGTGGTGAGGCACTGGAATGGGTTGCCCAGGGAGATTGTGAATGCTCCATCCCTGGTGGTGTTCAAGGCTAGGTTGGACGAGGCCTTGGGTGATACGGTTTAGTGTGAGGGGTCCCTGCCCATGGCAGGGGGGTTGGAACTAGATGATCTTAAGGTCCTTTCCCACCCTAACTATTCTATGATTCTATGATTCTAAATTCAAGCAATAGAATATTCACCCCTCACCATAGAGCGCAGTTTGTTTGTTAGAGCTCTTTCTGACCTAGGAAGAGTCAGAGGAGGTGCAGTGAATTAATTGCTGCAGAAGCTTGATGGCAGATATCATGGCAATAGCTTAAGGAATTCATATTTTGAAGTCTCTTAATCTTCATCCTTGGAGTCCTTCTTGCTCTCTAGCAAAGCTTACTTTTCATTTTATGTACAAGAAATAATCTTACTTGATGGAGGATTTTCAGCCACTGCATAATCTGTCAGGCTTATTTGTCATAAATTTGCTGGTGCTGCTTTTGGCTAGTTTTCTATCGATAGTTTTGTAAAGGCTAACATATCTGTTTTATTTTTTAAATATGGAAGAGCAGAGGGTTCTGTGATGCCAGTAAGAACAACTGAGGTTTTTGTGCTTTGTCTTCATTGAGCCTTATTCTGAAGTAATGCCTGTGCACCTGTTCCTTGTCCTGTGGTGTGGAGTATGTAGTTGTCAGTATTGCTTCTTAGTGATTATGAAGCTGAAGTGATTGTAATTATTTCAATGTTTTCTAGTACTGCCCACATAATTGTTGAATATAACAGCAGTGGATCAGCTTGCTCTTGCTGAGATGCAGGCCAGGCAGCTCTGCGTGTGCCTTTTCAAACCAAGCTCTTTTTGCAAAATCTAATTAATTAATTAATTCCAGTGCCTCAGTGTAATTGTGGTCAGACTCGAGGAGATCCCCTCCTTTTTCCATTATGAAAAGAGCTTTCTATTTATCTTTGTAGGTGTTGGGAAGGGGAAGCATTTATTTGTGTGTCTTAAATACTGAACTACAGAAAATCAGTTGACAGGAAAGACAGACATGAGGAAGTTTTTACCTTTGTAAAGCCTTTGTGATACATGCTCTGCACAAACATTTATTTAACTGACACGTAGATAAGTAGAAGACATATCTGGGTAAGTGGAAGATAAAACTTTTTACTTCTAGTAGGCCAGTGTTTTTGAAATCAGTAATTCAGAATTCTGTACACAGTGTTCCCTTTGTGTACTTAAGCTCCAGCAATAACTGTGGCTGGATCAGACCCTGAGGGTAAAACTGATCACTGGGACATCTGACAAACAGGATTCCTTGGGACAGACTCAGTGCAGTACTATTTAGTGCTTACTTTGTGTCCGAGTTCACTAGTGGCTTTTCTTTTCCAATAAACTTTATAGCTTGACAGAGTCTCAGTTGGTTAGTAAATACTGTGTGAAGGCTGTAGTGGAAGGCTGTGGCTTGGTGGAGAGCTATGGGTAAGAGATTCTTGTTGTACTTTAGCACAACGAAAAAAATAACTGTTATCACTGTGCAAGAATGGCTGCTGGTTCTAGTCCCCACATAGCAAATCTCTAACACTCCATAGTGGGTAGTTTGCCTGCTAAGCTTTACTCAAGCTCCAGGTGACATGTGGACATGCAAGTGGGCATTTGTCAGCAAGTACTGTCTGTGCAAGTGTGCTAGTGCATAATACTTTTGAGTTGCAGTCACACAAAAATGGTCCTTACTGAACAGCTCCAGTCTTCTGGTTATGTCTGAAGTGCCTGGTTTTGTTCTTTTCAGTCTTTTTCAGAAGAGCATCCTAAACTCTTAACTCTGCGTTGTACAGTTTTGCTTTGCTTCCAGAGAGTCTTTAGTAGCTTTTTAATAAAGTTATTTCTGTGTGGATTTTGAATATTTGGAAATAGAAAGGAATCTTCTTCAGTTCTCACTGTGATTTAAATGTGTTCTGCCAGACCCTCTTAGAAGACATTGTGAAGACTGCTACAGCTGAAGCCATCTGAGCTGTCACTAGAAAGCTGCCACCTGCTAGCTTTTGCTGGCTTTCTGAAAGCAGAACTGATACACAGTTGGGTTTTAGGTTTGGGTTGGGGTTATTTTTGTTTTTTTTGTTTGTTTGTTTGTTTGTTTGTTTGTTTTGGTGGTGTTTTAATTTTTTTGAATTGCCTCTGGAATATGTGACAAGAAGTAAGAACAGTTTCTTAAGATATATGTGACCTATTTTGAATTGGTATGTCATAGCATGTTTTGTCTACTTGTTGAAAACTTACTTGTAATTTTTTTTTCCCAGTAGATTTTTCTTCTGATAACTTGTTGGGGTTTGTTGTTTTCTGGTTTTTGTTTTTGTTGTTTTTTTTTTTTACTATCATTAGCATTTTCCTTTTTCTCTCACCCACTCTGACCCCCCAGCCTGAATAGCCTTAGTCTGTTCAAACATTCCTTGTACTGAAACCATTTCTCTTCCATAAATAAGCCCATACTTCAGTGACTTATGGACAACAATATTCAAAGCAAGATTTTCAGGCTGACAAGGAGAAGAGTTTGATAACCTGAGCAAAGCATGATTTCTGTTGCCCGTTGAGGCATAACTTGTTTTTCTCTGGTTGTGAGCAAACCCACAAGTCTTTGTGGCATGATGCTTCTCACAAGTCATGGGTTTGGGACTGCAGTCACAAATGATATATTTTTTTGATATTTTTTTTTCCTCTCAGATCCCTCAAGCTGCAGTGACTGATCTGAGGAATAAGATGACATTCAAAACTTAAAGATGGTGATTTAGGTATCAGAATTATTTTCTTAGTACATTTTTTTTCTCAGGAAGCATTAGTTTTCAGTCAGGCTTCAGCCACTATATGTTTAGATTCTTTTCTTCAGGGAGGTGCATCCTTACAGGATCCATACTGTCCTGTTAAACCATCCTGAACTGTAAGACAGCTATTTATGAGACTGAGTTAGTGACACTCTTTTTGAGATACAGATCATGCATTGCTGCTTCTTTTACTTTTTGATATTTTCTACTGCTAATTCAGTATAGAGGAAGGCTGATTGACATCCTTCCCTTAGCCAAATCTCAGAAGTAGCATTGTTCCTAATGTTTGGTTGGGGTTTTTTGTGGGTTTTTTTTGTTTTTGTTTGTTTGTTTGTTTGTTTGTTTTGTCTGCATTTTCTTTGACCACAGAAGGTAGATTAACTTTTTTTGTGTGCTTGAGTAGGAATAACTGATGCATCTTACCTAGTTACGATAGGTAATGTAAACAGGAAACAGTCATGTTGTCCCGTTTCCCCTGTTTCTTGAGATAAAGATTAAATTATTAAGCAGTTGCTACAGAGTTCTTATTACTATCTTGTAATAGGAAATGTACATCAGCTTTGATATCTGTAAAATCTTTGAATGCTTTGAAATATCTTCTCCTCCAGAATCTCTCCTGTGCTTAGTGTGAATGTGTGGCAAAACTGCTCTACTTCCAAGAAAAGACAATGTAAAAAGGCTTAGTTTACAGCCTGTAGCTCAGATTAGGTCAATGTCAGAGCTAGATTTAGGTTCTCAAAATCTCTTTCTTTCCATATGAACTTAAGCCCCTTTTTTCTGCACGGACAGCTCTTTTGAGTGAATGAATAACATGTCTACTGCTATTTGTTAATTTCTGAGTACCCAAAGGTAAATAGTGCCAAACAGGTCTCTTAATTATAGTATTCATCCTGCTTATAGACAGACAGTATCTGCTTAGTCAAATATTCACCTTTCTTTTGCTAAAGAACACAGCCTGTAGTATTTTCATAGTTTTTTAGAGTTGATGTGGTTTTGGGTAGCAAACTAACTTTCTTGGTCTCTGTAAGAAGAGTGGCTGTTGTTAACTCATATCTGAGCTTTAGTGAATGTACAAAGTGTCTAGATAAGAGTGTTAAAATTTCACAACATGACTTATGTTTTATATGTAAAATGCTCAGGTACATATGTCAGAAGAAAAATATCATAGTTATTTTATATGGAATGCTTCCAGCATCTGATGTGAACAACCCACTCTTGTGAAAAATGTCAGGAGGTTCTTAGTAGGTCTTAAGTAGCTGGCTTTTGTGTATGTTTGCTTTTATAAACCTTCAGCAGCTTAAATCCCCTTCTTTTTTCACTGCTGGTATTTTATTTTATTTTACCTGCTTTATAAGAGGAAGATCTCCTAAGTAAACATGGACTTGGCCTAATTCTTCTTGGTTGACTAAACTTGTCATGCTAATCTTCCAGCCTTTATGAAGGCTGGTGCCTGCCTCCTGTTTATGTGTGAAAAGGGTATGAGGGAGAAAACACTGTCTCAGAATGAAATTGGGTATATAGTTTAATCAGAATACTATACTAATAAATATTGTTTCAGGTAGAAGCTTTGATGAAGTCTACATTAAGTCTGTATGGGAAGATTGACTTCCTGGTGAATAATGGAGGGGGCCAATTTGTAAGTCCTTCTGAATCCATGCATGCAAAAGGCTGGAATGCTGTGATAGACACAAATCTGACAGGGACCTTCTACTGCTGCAAAGCAGGTAAGAACTGCACATAAAGCATTTTTTGTTTGGGTTTGTTTTTTTTTTTTTACAGCAATGCCAGAAGACAAGAAATGTAAAGTTTCCCTATCTTCTTTTTTTCACACACTTACCTGACAGCAGATGTTTGTTTTCACAGTCTCATCCAAAGCTTTATGTTAAACTGTACGTTACATTTGTTCATATATACAAACATACATTTGGGGAACTATGATCTTATGGTTAAGTGCAGATTTGGGGAGTCAATTGGCTTGGATACTCACTTAAACAATTATAGGAAAACTGCTTAATTTCTGTGGCCTGAATTCACTGTGTGTAATACAGGAAAAGATTCCTCTCATATCAGGGGTGTAAATTTAACTTTAAATTTAAGCATGGTACACGATTCTCAGATAACACTGGGAATGTGGAAATGAAAGTAACTTATGTGGAAGAATGGATTCTTGACTTCCACCAAAAGGCTTTTTGAAAAAGATCAAGCCCTATCTGGACCACACCTGTTACCCAGCCAGTGCTGAGGCTATGGTACAAAGAGCAGATTGTTTATCTAAATCCACACAGGAAATGTGTAGTGTGGTTGGAGTTAGGAGTCCAAATTTGGCTTCAGTTGGCCAGTTTGTTTGCCTGCATTTCTTCCAATATTTATAGGTTATCTTCTTCCTTCATACAGTGTACAATGCTTGGATGAAGGAACATGGAGGAGTCATTGTCAACATTATTATTACCACGAGAAATGGGATTCCTGGAATGTCGTAATATATATTTAATTTTTACATTTTGCTATGTTTTCCCCCTAGAAGTGCTAATTGCTCCAAAAGACTTCATTTTAGAAAGGGCAGCAGAAGAGCATAGAAATACTGCAGTTAGGTCAAGAGAAGACGATTGTATCACTTGGCAGTGTGTGTGGAGATCTCTTCCTAATTCATTGGAGACTATAGGAGTAAATGGCATCTCTGTCTTCTGACAACTTGTTTCTAGGAAACTACGAAGCAAGACTTGCTAGCAAAATGGTATGCTAGTGGGGCTAATTGCACTTAAATGCAACCTTTACTTTCTCTCCAAATTTCTGGAGAATTTGCGAGAATTTGGCCTCTGTTGTTTTCCTCTTCTGCTGTCAGTTTAGAAGTGTTGATGGTGTAATGAGTTATGGTAATAGTGGAGTAGGAGGAATATTTCTAGTATGTTCCCAGGTTTTGGCTTTGTCCTTTGGGTCATGTAATGCCTGCCTTCCCTGTTTTCCTTTTTGCTCTCACTTTTGTAGCCATCTTTCTTGAAGAAAGTCTCAGATACAGATAATTGGTTATATTTGCTCTGCACCTTTCTTGGAGCAGAAGGAGTGTCATGGGTACAAACATACTACTACATTTGTAGTTCTTTTATACTGACTCAAATGATCACAGCTGTCTGCATGAAACTGCAGCATCCTCCCCATATCTCTCTGTGTACTGTATTTATGCAAATTTCTTTATCCTCAAAATGGAGGCGAGCCAGGCATCATCCAATCTGACACTTTTCCCCCAAGAAAAAATTTGTCAAAATGCTCAGAACATGAATTCAAATTAAATTTCAAAGTTGTCAAAATGCTACATTTTGACGGTTTCTTTAAAAAAAAAAGGTCTAAATTTCTTCTTTGAAACCACTTATTTTTTACCTTTGAAATTAAATTTCTATTGAGGAAAATATAAAAATATAATTTGAGCAAATGTTACATTGCCTCTCTTTGTTCTGATTCAGAGTTTAAAGCTTTCAAAATTTTTTATTTTATTTTATTTTATTTTATTTTAAGTAACAGCAGAATATTTTCTCACTAGCTTGTTGGCAGTACAAAATACATTTAGATATCCACAGGGTGGTGCTGAAGTTACAGTTATTTGAGTTTCTCTGTTCTGGTTAAGTCTGGTTGAAATGTCAGAGCAGATAGGCTGAAGCTGTGTTTGAGAGTTGAACCAAGAGATAAAAAAACCCAATCCTGAATAACAGTGGAAAAAAATTTTTCAAAAAAACTGTTGTGTGTTGATGAGGATGGACAAAACTACTTTCAAATTAAATTCTTGTTGATTTGATACTTGGTTTAGAAATGTACTGTTGAAAATGACTTGCCTTTACAAGTCCAGCCACCACTCGTGCCAAAATCACCTGATATATTTTTGCATAACTTCTGAACATAAAACTAGTCAAGTTTTTTTGCTCATAGTGTGCCTGGAGGTTATTTATTTATGGCCTAAACATATGAATAAGTTGGGTTTTGTTATATTTTCCTTAAGTTTTTTCTTCTTCGTTTCCTGGTATTTGAGAAGCTATTGTATTTATCTTCTCTAAGTCTGTTTTGTTAGTCTAAAGGAATTAAACTCTATTAGTTTTCTCTGCATCCCACTTTCTGCTGTTCATCATTGCAGTCATTTTGTCTGCATTTGCTCAGCCTTGTCAACAGTCTAGTTTTTGTAGTTTTACACAGTTTGAATTTTGCCTTCAGTTGAAAACAAAAACATTTTATAAGCCTGCTTCTGCAATAAAACGTAGCTGGCCTCATGTCACATTGGGGAAGAGATGATATGTGTTTCCAGAAATGACAGGAAATCATAGCATAGTTTGTTTAAACTGTGATGCTATGATCAAACTTAACAAACTAGAAAATCTCTCCCTCACAGCTGGCCCAGTCATAGAAAGCTACTCTGACTACCCTAGTGAGGATGTGGTAGAAGTAACATTGGGCACTGTTAGCTGGGGGAACAGATTCTTCTTTTGCTTTTTCTCAATAGGCATTCAGGAGCTGCAAGAGCTGCAGTGAATAACCTAACCAAGACTTTGGCTATAGAATGGGCCCACAGCGGTGTAAGAATCAACAATGTTGCTCTTGTAAGTAATGGGAAATGATCTGATTAAACTGAGCCATCATACATGTTCAAGTCTAAAACTTTCATACTAAAAGGGATTTAAAAATCTATAGCCTGTAACTGTTTGTGGATTATTTATATATCTCTTTATAATTTCCCCATCGACATTCTTCAGGTCATTTAGAGTGTTTTGTACTGTTCAGATGATGAACCAGAGATGGAGGATAAAATTGTTTCTGCTTTCTCCTTTGATTTGGCACTCTTGTTTGGAATTGGGTTTTACCTGTGTTTACAAAGTTATTTTGAAAATCTTTTGAATGTGTCACAATGTCTTTACTTTGTCTTCGACATGTTAAATTAATTGGTTTTAGGCATAAAAAAACTGTATTTAGAGTGGATCCTCTCTCAAAGACATTATGTATAAAAATGTGTGTTCTGATTAATTTTTTTTTTTCTTTTTTTTATCAAATATATGCAGACGGGAAACCACTATACAGGTCAGCTGAAATACAAATGTCACATTTCTGAGGAAGTAGGTAGCATGTAGCAGTTGTTTTCCATACTTGTATGGAAAAAGCAGCTATATTTTTCTAGTGTATAGTGCTGCAGACATAGAGGTTATATTGAAACCCTGGCTTTAACATTTGAGATTGTGTGATCTGTGTAATCTTCACTCTTAACAACAATTTGTTTTGCACATTTACTCCCTTGAGAGCAAAAGAGGAAAGGAAAACTTTGTCTAGCTCCTTCTACATTCAGCATTTATCATCTCAATAAAGCGTCACATCTGTTTGACTTGTCCCTAGGAAAATCTTTGTACTATCTTTGTAGGATGTCTGTATATCCTATTGTGCCCCTTTTCCTAAAACATCTGGCTCACTTTCTTTGGCATAGCACAGACTGCATAATGGCAGATGTGTGTTGATCGTTCAGGTAGCAGCTCTTAGGTAGCCTCTGCGAGGCTTAAGTCATTAGGAGACTTGTTAAGGCTTGTTTTTCCTGTTTATTTGTTTTTTCTGATTTATCAAGTCTTGGGGAAGTAATTAAGACAGCATATGTGAATATATTTTTCAGGCATGCTAACTACCTCATGAATCATACTAATTATACATTATAGCATATGTCAAAAAGTTTTTGACAAGCAAACACTTACGTGGTTTGGCTCTTTCAGAAGGATTTGCTAACTTTGTTACTGTGGTGGTAACAAAAATCCATGTAATAGTTACAGTAACACTTCATATCCTTCTGTCACCTTTGTGGACACAACTAAATCTGTGGTAACCATAGAAAACAGTAAACATTTTATAGGAGAGGAGTAATATGTAGGGAATAGGTACATAGACGGGGAAATGCATTAAAAAAAAAAATAGTTTCACATACCAGATACTGTCCTGGCTCCCAAAACCTAGCATTCATGTTTCACAGATACCTTAGAAGAGAAATCTTAGCATCTACTCCATGGATGAACTCAAGTTTTGTTCTTATTTAAACTTGAGTCCCTAAGGTTCTGTCATAACTCATCTATGTAATTCTGTGTCACCACTGCTATAGACTTCATCTTCCCTCTCAAGTCTAAACTCGACTGTATAATTATCAGAGCAAAGACAGTCACCTTTTTCTGTTTCTATAGCAGCTAAATAGGGAGAGTCTGAACTTCGATTGCGAAATCTGTTTCTGTAATTCACAAGAAAACCAATCTAGAATTCTTAGAGATTACAAGAAACTGTGGACAACTTGTCCTTAGGGCTTTGTAATTTTCTGCTGTAAGCTAATATGAAATGCTTGTCATTTCAAAATGGTCTTTGAATTTCTTCCTATGCCCTCCACTGTAGTTATTGAAGTGACAGCAGAGAATTGGAATAATCTGAATTACTTCGCTTGAATAGAGATGTGAGTAGCAGCCAAATTACCATATTCTATAAATTATACTATTCCATCAAATTTCAAAAGTTGCATTCAAGTGCTGTTTGGGTACTTTAATGCCACAGAAAATGACAACTTCACAGTTTTACAATGGTCACAGTTCAAACAATATGCAAGAAAACTTAATTTTCACTATGCTGTTTTAAAATAGGGACTAGTTTTTTCAGAAACTGCTGTTGAAAATTATGGAGAACAAGGTACAACGATGTGGTTAAAGATCATACCAAATATCCCTGCCAAGAGGTCAGCGGTTCCTGAGGAGGTAATGTACTTCACAATGTTTGTGATATTTCTCCTTCTGTGTCTCTATTTTGAAGCCTCTTTGTTATATGGAGAATTAAAAAGATTGAATTTTGCAATGTGATGGATTATTAAAAAGAAAAAAGCTTGTGGTAACGTGCAGTAGTGCCAAGGAGGAGACTTAGCCAATAGTCAGTGTTATTCTGAAAGCTTAATTTAGATGCTTCTTACAGCTGAGGTGTTTAATAGTAGACATCAGTTTCTGAAAAAGTTGCCTTCCAACAAGAAGGACTGAAAGAATGAACTTAATGTGAAAAAAGTGTATCTTAAAAGTACTTAGCTCTCTTCCACCAAGAATGTGCATCTTTGATAAACTGTTCAAATATTTTTGTTTGTTTGTTTGTTTGTTTTTTATACCTGGTGTTGATCATTGAGAGCTTACTGGTTTTCAACTGTTATGTACTTGAAGTTTGAGGCTGGAAATATGGCTTTAAGAGTGTTTAGTTTTCATTTCTGAGTAGAAAACATTGGTATGTCTTGGCTGCAAAAGTTTTTACAAGAACAGTTCCCAGCAGTTTAAGAAAGATTAAAATTGTCATTCTTGTGTTAGATCTCTCCTGCAGTGTGTTTCCTGCTCTCTCCAGCTGCTTCTTACATAACTGGGATAACTCTGACTGTGGATGGTGGCCAAAGTTTATATAGGGCTCCCCTAGACATACCGGGTAAGAAACAGACTACAAAACAGTGCCCATCAAGTTATTGAAGTCAGGCAATGGGTGGGCACAAAAGTAAAATGCCTCAATTCTCAATCAGTTAAGTATGTTGTTTTATTTGTTTTCTTCAGATCATGACAGATGGCCCTCACCACCAGAAGGAAAAAATTCTGAAATGCTTAGAAAGCTGATTTCTGGCAAATTCAAGCCAAAGCTGTAAAAAGAATGATATTTCACCTTATTCCTAGTTGCACACTTGCTGGTAATCTTGCTTTGTGATTTGGGTTGCTTACTCTCAGTTATTTTTTTTTCTTTTTTTTTCTTTTTCTTGTACTTAACTACATTGAGTACCCTGATCTTTGTTGATTTATATTTTAAACTTGAAAGGCAGTACATAGTGAATTTCTTCTCTGAAAACACTTACTGCCCTGAAAACATTCAGTCTCCCAGGGAAGTAAGGTATAAAAGACGTTCTGCATTTGTACAAGCATTAAGAGTCTGAGACAGAAGTGAATAAATAACACTTATTTTGAAGTAAAGGGAGTAGAGAGGGAATGTTGCTGATGAATTTGGAGAGAAAGTTATTTAAATCTCTGTTATTAGTTGCATTGATAATCCTTGACGTAGCTGTTAGCTCTACCCTGTTTCTGTTCTGCCACACACTGAGCGTTCAACGATGATTTGAAGACTGAGTAGGTATTTCTCTACTCAGAGTTAAAAATACTCTCTACTCTCTCCTCAGAATTAAAAATAAGGCAAAGTACTGTTATTAATCTTTCAAACTGCTATTGGCATATCGTATTGGAAATGTTTTTAATTGTTTGCAGATACAGCGACATAATGGAGTTAACTTGGTCGCAACTTAAGTTTGATAATCAGATAATAAGCTTTAACATACAGTGATGGAAAATATTATATATTCAACAATTTAACATGAAAAATCTTGAAGCAAAACCTGTGGTGTATATTAGAGTGCCTTCTGCAGTATGCTATATTGTGAAAGCAGAAACTTGGAATCCTTAATTTACTTCTTAAAATGCTTTCTATTCATACTCTGTTCTCATACAGTGTTAATGCAGTTTTGTTTATCAGTGTCTCAACGCAGTGTGATTTTTGTGATCAATGGAGAGATTCCATTTAAAAAACAGAAATCTTGCAATATATCACTTGAAGAGGCTATATTTGTCATTACTCACTTTTTAAAATTCACTTCAAGGCAATTGTTCCCATGTCTGGTAACTTTATGTTTGCTGCAACAACTGAAATTTGTGGAATCAAGTTGCCTCTATAGAAGTCATCTCTTTAATACTTCATTTTGGGTTGAATGTAAGAGTCTCTGCAAAGAGAATCTTTGGCTGTTTGTTGTATGCAAAGTGTTTGACTTTTAAGTCTTTCATTAAAATATGGGAACTTGCATACATACGTGTAAATTGCTTTTTCTTTTGAAAACCTGAATGCGAGTTTGAGGGGAGGGTTTTGGGACCAAAATGCTTTCTCCTTTTGATATGGCCTCTTTCCTTAGTAACTGGGTGCTCATTTGTATGATATAAGCTTGTACAAAGATAAAAATCAGCTTTTATCAAACCTCTTGTGAAAGGTGTATTTTTATTATTGCAAATATTAGTTCAGGGTACACAGCAAGAAAATCCCTGGAAGAAAATGCACCCATTAGATGATTAACTATAGCAGCCTGGCCCATTGCATTTAAGGAAAATTATTTTGTTTGTTAAGAGATTATTTCTACATTCTTCACAATTTTCTGTGAAAGAAGATTAAACATGAACAGGCTTGAGACTTGTGCAGTTTATTTTCTCTTCACATTTGACTGTGAGCTTCTGTGATACATGTGGACTATAGACTTGATGTGAAATGGAAGTGATTTGATAAAACCAAATTACTTTCACTATATCCCAGAACTTGATTGAGCATAAACTTGGAAATAATGATTTTATACTGTTGCAAATTTCCTCTTTAAGTTTGCTGGAGTATGAATATTCATGAAGAAGGGACGTTTATACATAATGATGGTGAAATGCATCACTCAGTGAAATGGAACATTGGTGAGCATTATCCTGTGTGGGAGACATGTTCAGCCTAAAATTAATAAACTCCTCCACAAGTAAGAACTATAACAAACCTTTCCACTTGCACTGGAAACAAGGAACTTTTATGTGACCTTACCTTCTTCAACTTCCAGCAGAGTAATGGATGTATTAGAAAGATATAAAGAGGGTTGTTCCTGTGTGTGCCATTTTTTCCTTGGCAAGAAACAGCATTTGTGAAGTCATAATGCACTGCAGCTTAGTGCAATAGGAGAACATACTCAAAATAGTCTAGGGGTAAGTATGGTATAAGAATACAGAAAATACACCCTCAAAAAGAGAAGGAGAAACACAAGTGCCTTTGCCCCCCCCCCCCTTTTTTTTTCTCCAGTAATAATACTGATGTCCCCCATATGCTTGAGGCCTACTATGCACAATATTAAAAAGCTTATCATATTATATTAGATATCAGGATAATAACTCCTTTGCTGTGACGGTTTTGAAATTATCACACCCCCTCTTTTTCCTTTTATTTTTCTTTTGGTTTTGCGTATTTTTCTTCTTGCACCAGGAAGAGCATGAAACGTTTAATCCTTAGAACAGAGGTTTTGTTTTGGTCTTTGCCTCTTCAGTCCATTTTTATGCAGATTAAAATTATTTGTAAAGTTTTGCCGTGCCTTGCAGAAACCCAGTGTTGTGTTGGCTGCAGCATGAATGTTTCAGGTTTCTGCTGCTAGAGCTGCAGATAAAATCAACTGTAGCAAAGCTCTTCCTACGCTATTGTACCAACAGCTCTTGATCAAAGGGCATTGAAAGGTTAAAAAAAAAATAAATAAAATGGTGTGGTACCAAGCCATCCTTGACCTGATTCACATTTTGGTATGTGAAGTTCAGGGAACGGAGTTTGATTTTTGTTTTGGTTTTGGGATTTTTTTTTATTTTTATTTTATTTATTTTACAAGGGAGGTGAATGCAACTGTTGGAAAAGAGTTAAGGAACCTTAGGAGGAATTAAGGGTATTTATTGACCAGACACTGAAACTGAACCATTTGCTGTGCTGTACAGTTGTAATAAACCCAGAGAAAACTGTTAGAATGACGGTTGCATTTACCATTCTGTTAAAAATCTCTTTTCAGTTGCTTTACTATTTACCCCGGCTAAACCTGTACCTATTCTATCTACCCCTTATCTGATACTCATCTGACTGACAAGTAGGTGCTTTTCAACTGCTACTTTGCTTCACTGTCTGGTGTTATATCTGAATATGTGTTGTAGAACTTCACATTTATGAAAGCAGTGTCTTTCGGTGAAAGGGATTTTTTATCAACTGTACTTGCCTTATGTTTTACAGATATCTTTGTATTAATCAGAATATTGATTATTGAGGGTACTTATGTAGCGTAAAATGAAGTTTGATTATTCAGGGGTTTAGCTTAGTGTAAAATGAAGTCTATGTTGTAAAAATCATCATTCTGTAAAGATTAACAGTCATCATGTTTGCTGAAGGGAATACAGTCTGTGCAGTGTCAAATACAAGACTTGCTTGTTACAAGCTTTTATGGTTATGCTTAGTCTTCTGAATAGTTGTATAGAGTATCCTGTGTGATCTTTGAGAAAGCATGCTATTTGCCAGACATTGTAATTTCGTCTACTTCTAATCAACATCCCCTACTTTACTCTTGCCATCTTGAATAGCTGGCTTGTGTTAAATGGCTGAGTAATGTAGCCATTAGGGGAATAATCTTATTAGTAAAGTCAAGACTGTTCTGGGTAACTGAATGTGGCTGAGTCCTAAAGGTAAATAGGTTTGTCTGCTCCAACCCCATCATTGAAGTTTATGAAGCAACCCATTAGTACTGCTGTCTAGTCTCATTTATAGTGTGCTTTTTCTAGAGAAGCAACTCCATACCTGAATAACTACTGTATTTTCCCACATTCTAGACAAGTTTCAAGTGTTATAGGTTGCTATAGTGTAGCTGGCTGCTCTTTTTTTCATTTTGCTCTGGAGTTAAACTGAAATGTGTTGAGCAGTGGGACTGCATAATGAAATGCGAAATACTGATTACATTGGGAGACTGCAATCTGACTAAGAAATATATTTGCTAGCGGGAAGATGAAGCCTCTTCTGACTCTTTCAGCAGAGGCTTAGGACTGTCTTCCCTGAGCTATTTGTTCTTCCTCTCTTTCGGCATCAGCCTCAGTGATGGCGCATTTGTATTGGGAGGAACTGTAACTGCTGAGATATAGGCATGTATTTCTTCTGTCTTGGAAAGGTGAAAGAACACAGAAGGCAGGTAAGGCTAGCAAAGGCTTGAAGTAGTACTATTGTTTGCTCAATGCAGGAGAGCTGGATTTAAATTTATAAGAGGAATGTTGGCCCTCCTGCCAGTGAGGATCCCATTATAACATCTTGGCATCGCAAACATTATGCTGCTGCTGCTCCCAGAAGAAGACATTTTGAGTTCCCTTATCTGCTCTGTCACTAGCAGCTTGTTCCTTTGCAGTTAACCCCTATTCTGGATTTAAAAAAAAAAAAAAAAAAAAAAAAAAGTATTAATCACCTAACTGGGTCCTTTTCTGGATGTAGTTCAAAATGTGGTAATATGGTGCCAGCTATAGGAAAGACTGGTGGGGAGGCAAAGAAACTTGGGAAAGAAATGGAGGATGATGTCATGGGCATGAAAAGGAGCTGTTTTGTTCCGTTTTAACGTGTACAGAAGCTATGTCTTTAGTGTTAACTAATACAGTCACTTCTTAGCCTCAAGCAATACATCTAGAAGGTGAAAAACTCTTATTGCAATGAGGTATTGATTCTGGAATCCATGGAGAGTCTTACTGCCAGATTTCAGTCAATTGCTTGAGTAGACCATCCTAAGATGTGCTTATCCACTCCTCCTGACTTCCATCACCTGTAAAGGGCTTGTGCTGAATGCATGAAGAGCTAATCCACTTTGCTGCAACTTCTGTCATCTATTTTTATACTCTTTTTCCATAACAGCAATTACACTTGTCCCTGTAAGCTTTATTTTGCTTCAGTAGCATGACACATGATCTCAGAACCATGCCCCTGGGTTTGGGCTGAGCTCACCATGAGCCACTGTCATTAAGTGCTGGTCCCTGCTGTTGATGGATTTTTTTTTTTATCTCAAAGTCAATACTTAGCTCCTGATACTGAAGGTGCTGTGTTTTAGGGATTATGGCACAACAGATGTCTGTCAGGATGTACATCACCTCTGCAAAGCACTCTCAGGACAGTGCTCACAGTGCATGGAGAGTGCTTTGTGCCAGGATGGCTTTGTGCAGAAGTACAAAGGACTGCATGGGCAGAGGAATGTGGGATGATTCTCCACAACCCTTGCCAGCTGCTTCTATAGTGAAGGAATTCTGACTTCAAAACCTACTGTTCACCAACCCTTCCTCCATCAGTGAAATCTATTTGCAAGATGCTAAAACTGACAAATGGCCATGAACTGGAGCATTAAAGCCAGGGAAACACTGGATGTGTTTTTCCAAGCTGTGTAAGCAGCTGTGGCTCATTGATCTTGCTTGATGGTGCAGGAGCATCACACATCAGCATTTTTCTTGGCTCTTTCCCTGTCATTTAGCAGAAAAGGTAACCTTTTTAACTTTTTAGTTAAAGGCTCTTGCTCATAGCAGGTGTCTCATGAACATGGCTGATGATTTTGCCTACTGTGAAAAAGGTGTCTTAGCTTTGACAGGCAACTACATCTCCTTCATGTTGGCTCTGGAGTTCTTATTTAACCAGTGTGAATCAGAGCCTTGTGCCCTTTTTGGCTATGCTTCATCACATGGTCTTTCTTTAGCACAGTCCTCTTCAATCAATTTTATTTTTTTTAAGATGACAATTTTTATCATTTTCTGCAGCCGATTTCAGTGAACATCTCAGAGCTCTCAGGCTGTGGGCCTTGATGTGCAGTTTCTGAGTTTTATATGTGGTTCCCACTGGAAGTTTATGTGCCTGGGTGTGCAGTTTGGGGTCTTGTCCCACTGAAACCTTGCCTGTATATACCAGCATAATTATAACGATGTCTTACAACTTCCATTCAAGTAGATTTTCCCAGGTTTGTTTAGGGTGACCAAAATAAACTCCTAGCCCTTGTTTTGGGTAGATTTTGAGGGCTTGTCCAGGCTTTACAAGCCTCCAATTGTCTTAAATATCTTTACCCACGTAGCTCGAAAGCAGCGCTCGAGTGCAGCTCTGCTGCGAGGGCTGTGCTGCAGTGAGGTGCAGCAGCAAGCTCGCTGCTGCCCTCTCTGTACATCCGTTGCTCATCACCGGTGTCACTCGAAGGGTTTGCTAAACATGGAGTCATTCGTGCATTTGTACGCAATGGTTCATGGCTGCAAGCTTATTTTTAAATCTGTACAAAACTGATTACAGTGCTGTAGTGATATTTACAGTCATGTGCTACTTAGACTTCGAGGATAGCAGTCATAGCTGTCCTGCTATGTATTGGGTGGTACTTCCTCACTGATAAACTTCGGGTAGCATCCTTCTTTTTAGCATGTATTGACTTCCTGAAGGAAGAAGGTGGCTTCTGCAGAGAGCAGTCAGGCTGCAATGTGAGAAATGGACATCCTGAAAGTGGCAGACCAGCATTTTGGATTGTCCTAAAGTCGTGTGTGGCCTGCTCAAGGTGGAGTTAGGACAGTTTGTCCTACCGCAAGGCAGCTACTCCGGGCATGCCGGGGCTAAGAGTTTTTTTTGAGCTAGGCAGCGAAGGAGCCATGATTACCCGGCGGGGAACGTTCGCACTCTGCCCTTGATCATCGGAGATTACAAACCCGCAGCAAACCAACAGCTCAGAGCCTGGCAGAACGAGTAACCGCTGCCCGGCGCTCTGGAGCCCTCTGCCCACTAGGCCGCTGTGTGCCAGGCGGCACAAAC